AGATGTTTAGCAAACTCAGACTCAATTGCTCAACTTTGAATTTATCTAGCCTAAGTTTGGAAAATTTGATTTCGGTTTGACATTGGCTGCTGTGAGTTTGTTTAATCAACTCTGAGTAGGTCCACTCAGAGTTGAATGCATGTGAAAGAAGTATGAAAAGCCAATATCAGTGGAGCCTCGATTCAGCAAGTTTTTCTTTTTCTAGGACAGTACAACTTCTGGACTTGAAACCCTATATGTATACACTTTTGCCATATTTTCCTTATCGTTCAATTATAAACACTGATCTTAATCACTGCAAATGGGATCTTCAACCCTTTAGATGTTGTTATAGAGCTGTTTTCTTTTTGTGACCACTTGATGATTTTTGTCTCACAGCTTTTTAAGTCATTTTGGGGGCGGCAGCATCAGTTACTCCTGGTAAGTTCATTACTATTTTCTCCATTTGGGGATAATAACTGAAAACCCTAGACAAGTATTCACAGCATGATAGGCAACATTGAATAAATCAACGATTTTGTTTCTATCTGTTCAAATTCTGTTGTGTTACTTTTTTAAATATTTTAGGTCACATCAAGTTAACAGACTTTTTTAGTTAGTTCATTATGTAATAGGTATGAAATTAATCTAGCCTGGGTTTGCCCACAATAGTTGAAATGATCAAATACCATTGATACATGACAAGAAGGTCTAGGTGGGGGTGGAATTAAAATGAGCTTTTGAGATAAGACACACAAAGGTATATAACCATGCGCACACACACACACATACACACTCAGTTGATCCCAGAACCTTCAAGCTGCAAAGCATGTTCCACACTGTCCCACTGTGCAGCCCTATCAAAGATAATAAGTGTAAAAATGTGTTAAATACAGAAGATATCTATAAGGAGGCCCATGTTTTCCACAGTATTAAGTGTGTATAATCATAAAGATTTGCCTTGCACTAAACAACCACAGACCTTATCAAAATCTTTTTTTAATTAAAACATTTTGTGCGTGTATCTTTCTCCTTGATTGTTTAAAGGAAGTGGGACTTTATCTCTGCAGATACAGCCTTTAGTGGTACTGCATCGGTACCATAATGACAGTCAGAAATGTTGCTGGCAGCACTTGTTTTACATAAACTGTAAGACATCAAATAAAGATATGCATCAACATAGTTCTAGAGAAAAAAAACCCACAAAATCTTTGATGCACATCCAGTTCATAGTTTACACAATAATGAGTCAGAAGCTTAAACTTATTTTGCTTTTGCTTCGTTAAAATAAACATCAGTTACATCCTGTTGCTTACCCTCATCTAAAGAGTTGTTAGTATAGTCATATAGTCTATATGACTAAATTAGTGGTTTTAGATTTCATTTAAATCAAGGGCAGTTTACCTTTTAGGAGCTTTATTGTGATCTTAAAATTTTCTCTGGGGCATGCTTGAAAAAGTTTTACATAAATATCAGACATCCCAAGTTTCCTGGAAGTTCCGGGAGTCTCCACAATATAGATAGTTGTTCACGGATGCCTGCGAGTTGGATAAATTATCCCGGATTTTAGACTTTGCAAAGTGATGTTTATTTAATGCGAGTGAGAGCGGGCAGGCAATATAATAATTTGTGCCTCATGTGCAGATTAGAACTACTGCGAGTGCGCAGGAACAGCAAGAGAGAGCGGGGTGTGAGGAGGAGGTTTGCTGGTGGAACCTGTCCAGCGTATCTGTCCAAAGCGATGCTCTGTTCAACCAGCTTTCCAGGCGACTGGTTGTCAGAGAGCTGATTGGATCAGTCCGATAAGTTTGGGGTTACTCTCTGGCAGTCACCTAGTTACCACCCAAAGCTCCTCGGGTAAAAAAAAAAAATATAGGAGTAATTTTATATACTAACATATATCCAGCAGAATATACTAACGTATATCCACGTCTAGTGAAGCCAGGGGGCAAGGAGGGGGTCAGCCTGTTTTCATGGGGGCACAGAAAAGCATGAAATAAAAAA